ATATTTTAGAAGTACTAGCTAGGTTTAAGTTGATATAGCGTAGTAAGATATGTAAACATAGCTAAGTCAAACCCCTAGCAATGGACCAAATTCAGAATAAACCTATCAACAAATTTTAGAACTCATAAAATTGTTTAACTGCATAATTCCATGGGTGGAGATGAACATGCCTTTACTATCCCAATCTACAACACACCTCACTTATAAATAACTCCCTTACACATTCAAATAAAAATATAATAAATTACTGAGAATACTCTTTTTTATAAAATGTGAGTCATATGCAAATGTACTGACCTTTATTGTAACTAAATAGATGAAGTATTATATTTCTAAGGGCTCTAACAATGTTGCAAATGATTATAGCACATAAACGGCTCTTTACATTCGAGATTTTTCATTTTACACTTTTTTAAATTGAAATGTGAAGTAAAAATAAGCGACAGAGAATTTTAATTGGACTAAGAATGAGAATTTATGTACACATGTAGACTACATTGTATTTAATAAAGTTGCAAGAAGTAGAGAACCTGCTCATAACTTTATAAATTGCAATCGAGTAAGATAATTTGCTTGAGGGTATTAAGAAGGGATTTTTTGTAAAAGATCAAACAACTTTGCGTTTAAAAGATTTTGCCTGAGGTGAAATAAAAATTCTATTCAGGACTTTATAGCGTGTTATTATTTATATCTATTAATGTTTGTGCTTTGTAGCGCTGTTCTGTGGATGCACAAGGCTGGGAAGAAGCGATTAGAGTCAATTAAAGAGAGTATGCACTCCTGAAAGTTTCAAGCTAAGCTTCTAACACAAAGCGACTTAATGAAACGCATTTAGTTAACTTTAGAAGCTTTGTAAGGGCTATTGATGCTTGATTAGCATTTAAAAGGTTAAATTGAGCCTTTAGTACCTCATCAAAAATTCAAAATTCCACCCAAAGATTGACCAATCCAAAAATCATTCAAAACTACTCCAACAAATAATTCAAAAACCATTCTAAGCTCAAAAAAATCACGAATAAATTATTCAATTCCCATCATTCTATTCATTACAAAACTGATGCTCTGATGTTCTTTTCAAACCCAACAATCAACTTTACAAACAACTTCCGTATGAATAATTTCCTGTAAAAATTCTCAAGCCCTCAAAAAAATATTTTTCATTACAAAATATCCGCAAATAAATCCTTCTTCTTACTGGCCCCTTTTATGTCCAAAATATATCAAAAGATTTTACACAAAAAATATGAGAATCTTCCTCAAATGAGTATTATTGACATTCAAAAAAAAAAATGCAAATAAGGACGTTTATCAAGTATGCAAAATAAGAAGAAGATTTAAAGATTCAAAGGAAATATGGTAATATAGTACAATGGTGGACATATGAATTTTTATATTCACATCTTTTTAAAAATGTAAAATAGTAAGTAAGAAGAAGGCAAAGTAGGAAAGAAACTAGTTTTTTTTTTGCTTGTTCAAATACACAAAAATGATCTAAAGATGCATGATCTAAAGTTAAATAAAGTATGAAAAGTAAGTAGGTAGAGGATAGCGATTTTTGTCGAAAGGCATTGATGATAGACGAGTGCTGTACAGTTTTGTGAGGGATTAAAGCGCATTTTTGAGGGTTTTGGATTTTTAAGGTTTAAGTAGCTTTTGGAAAATTTTCTTGAATTTTTTCTCCATCGCTATCTATATAAACTTCATGATAAGGATGATCCATCACCGAAAAGCTCACTAGGGATCAACTAGAATTAATTTTTACAACGCCAAGCCCCCGAAAATTCGATATGAAACTAGCAAAACTAGATTGCTATCTTATCACTTACATCAAGAAGTTTTCAATCAATGTTGTGATAAAAACTTAGCGTAATGAGCTGTTTTGGCCTTGAAAATTCTTCGCATTTAAGTTTTTTGAACCTTAGACAATTACAGAAGTTAGTAAGTGTCATTTACTTATTCTTAAAGTGTCTTAAGTTTTCAGTTTTGATGTCTTTCTATTTATGTAATTTGTAGGTTCAAGTTTTTTGTCTATTAAAGTCATATTTAATGAAGCCAAGAGTATTGAACTGATAAAATTGATCAAAAATCAGTCGATCAGTTCCATACCTTTAGATTCAGCTTTTATACACCAGTCCTAGATTCAGTATAAAAATCCCGAATGCACTAGTGAACTGACTATACCAATCCAAAGCTTCATTTTCCCATTTGACAATTCTAAATTCAAATCACACACTTAGTCACATGGTAACAAGCCATTACCAATGAAAAAAAGCTGTTATCTACTTACATCATTAATCAAATCACAGTCAAGATTCTTTACATTCGCATGTTTGCAGATAAGATGGTGTAAAAATAACTCTATAAAGCCAATAAAAAATTTGATTGATCACTTTTTAGAAGCTGTAATACTCAAATGAGTTTGAAATAAAGTTGTAATTAATATTGATGATGTTGTTTGGACATAGTTTGTATGGGAAAGTATAGGAAGTGTGAAATGTAATAAATTAAGTAATGTAAATTAATTAAAAGTCTGGATTGTAGTACTTGTTGATAGGATTTATGTATTGCAATGTTAGAAAATAAATATGAGAACTTTAAGTCTTAGAGATGCATAAGGATACTATTGGAAATTTGGGTAAGATTGACTAGCTGGGATCTGATCTTCTATTTGGTCCTTTAGTCTAAATAGTCTTCGATATCTTGGCTTTTCCAATTGACTTTTGTGAATCTAAACCTTAAAATCTAAGCATTTTGTCAACCATCTTGCATTCTTACCCTCCAAACAATCCCAAACTGCACTTCTTACCTTAACAATCTATCACCAAAACTAGCTCACACATATGAAAAAAAAAATTATAGGAAGGAGGAGGTCCACGAAAGATAGCGTGCGATCTTCTTTTTTAGTTCATTCTAAAAAAGATTCCAAAAAAAAATCATCATCATCATCTCCATTAAATTTCGTTAAGAAAATGAGAACAAATTCTATTTAAAAATGCGTTGTCGTCTTCTTCTTCCACCCTTGTTCATATATAAATGTATATTTTCAAAATTTTATTATGTCAGACTACCACATTTGAAATCTATTAACTTTCTTAGATACAGATAAAGTAGCTATAGGAGCGTAAAAATTTAATGTAAACTTGAAAAATGAGAAGAAATTCTCGCAGTTGTGCTCGTCGCACGAGCACATAGCACATTTTGTATGTAATATAATAATAATCGAAGCGAACGCAACAACGACAATAGTTTGTGTGTGCAGAGAAGAGAAGCAACAAGAAAGAAGAAGACAAAATTCATAAAGCAGCCAAACTAACATTAGCAGAAACAGAAAAACGTTGCAAACTTGAATATATGTATTTTGTACCTATAATAAAAATATATTTTTTTGCGCAAAAAATAAAACGCCGAGCAAAATAGCATAAAGGTGCCTCAAAATGTATTTAGATACATAGGCATAGATTGTTATAAGGCCCGTAAGGGCACGTCATTGAAGAAGATATTTCATTTTTTTGCTTACAGTACAGTTATGTGGAGATAGAAAGAAATTAATAATATTAGCAACACATGCAAAGAGTATCTATGTTCAAAGCAAGCAAAAAAAAATTATCTTTACAGCCGAAATGCTTCTTGTTCTTCTACACTTTTTTATTTTATTTTTCTCTTCTCATTTGAACTTTTTTTTTGCAAGTTAGTGGTCATTTCAGTGCTAATATTCATTCAAAGTAGTTGCTGTTTTTTTAAGCTCCGCATTTTTTTATAACTTTTTTTTGAGCAAAATTTTTTATTTTATTATTTTTTTGTAAAAATTCTTATTTTTTTCTATTTTTTTTTTGTTGTTGTGGACGAAGAAAAAAAAAGTGCAAAAAATTATTTTCCTTCCTTTTTCCTGTTTTATTGTTGAACAAAATAAAAATTGTTGTAATTGTTTTGAGAATTCGTGTGGAAATGAAATAACAATCGGGTGGACAATATTGATGTAATATTATGAGATAAAAATTGAAATGAAGAATTTTTGATAAGGAAGTTTGTGAATTTGTTTGGAATTGATTGAGAATTTTGAGTTTTTTGAACAATTTTAATTATGAAAATAAATCGGTGAATTTTAAAGGTTGTGGTGATGATGATGATGATGATGCTGTAATGTTGATGAACTTACTTATGTAATTTTGTGTAATCAATGTTAAAGTTACAACAATTTACAAATAAGATTTTAGTCATCAATTGATAAAAGTTTCAAAATTTAAAAAAATCTTTTTTGATAATTTTGAAAAATTTAAAATTTTCAAAAGGCTTTCAAAAATTTCTATAATTGATCGCTGATACGGAATTTATCAAGCTTCATCATTCTTTTTGGTAAGAAATTTAACAAACCAAGTTTAAATTTATTTCTGATTACCTTCCAAGTTTATTAATGAAACAAATTTAAAATATCTTGAAGAAAATTAAATCTTTAGTGATTTAACATATTAAAGGATATAATTGAATCTAGAAATAATAATCTGAAAGCAAAATATCTAGATAATCCATAAGAATCTTGAAGTTAATTGATGATTCTTCATTAAACAATCAAGAATCCATACTTTCATGTTTTGAATTCTTTCATGTTTTGAAAGTAGCAATTCTTAGTGCTACCGTCTTCGACAAAGTAATGCCATATAAAATTCAATCAGAGCAACCATCTTTTGCCATTGATAAGATTGAAATCAAAGTTAACATAGCAAATTTTTTTTGTCTTTTCGATCAATTTTATTTAAAACAAAGTCTTTAAATCACAAATCAGTGTCAAAATTCATAAAAAGTAGCAAAAAGATTGTTGCAGTTTGTCAAACATTATCAATCAATCTTGACAACTCATCTAAAGTTAACAAACCGATTCATAATTCATTATTTGGTGAAAAATTAAAAGTTCAAGTCATTAAAATCTAGAAATTCATCAAAAAGTTAATCGAAAATTCTTTACAAAAAATTAATAATAAAACCAAATTAAATTAACATAAATCTTTAGAAAACCATCTTTAAAAAAGATTTAAATAATTCACCGGGACATAAACACTTCTAAAATCCATCTAGAATTTCGCGCGGAAGTTAAAGCAATAATAAAAAAATTTAAAACACAAAAAAGTGCCTCTAATAAAAAGTTGACATCATAATTTGTACATAAAGAATATGAATAAGTAAAAAGCTAAATTAAAATATGTGAAAAAAATTCATCAAATCAAATCAACAAAATTTATCGATGGCATTTTTGGAAAATGTACTATACTCAAACATTTGAAGCCTTAAATTAAGCAAGAAGATTGAAAAAAAAAAATAAATAAAAAAAATAATTGTGTTACTCGTGTAATACTGATAGTGTAGGCGTTCGACAAAAATTCAAATTGGATTCATCTGCATTCTCTGCCAAGGTATTGTATTCCTGCTGAATTTTTATTATTTTATCTAACCAAAAAAGCTAATTATGTTCAATATAAATTCGAATTTACCTCAAAAAATTATTTTACTATGTATATACATAAATACTTTCTAATGCAAACTAATACAGTTGCACACGCAACACGCTACGAAAGCTCTCGCACAGCCAAAAATTTTTATATATTAAGCTTTCCGAAAATGTATGACAATACACATGAACAACGCCGAAAAAAATATTTCGAGGAAGAAGAAGAAAAAAACACAATTTTTTTGCTCTCAATCGAATAGTCTGTGTAAAATCGTGATTAGACATAATCAATCTTTAGCATTGGAGCTGATAAACTTGAAGCAAGGACTAATCCACTTGTTGTTGGTCTTTGTGGATAGCTTTAATATTCAATTTGGTATTGAACTTTACAAATGACAATTTTTCAATGTTTGACTATCTACTTGAAGTCTTTTTCTGTCGATTTCTTGAACAGTTTTTCAATTCTCATTTTGGTAACTTATTGGAATTCTGTTTTACGAGGGAATAAGAAGATGGCTTTTGAGTGCTCTTTGTGTTTAGATTAGGAATATTTTATTTTACAAGAGTTGATTTTTTTTTAAACTTTTCTGTTGGAATTTGGTTGGGATTAAGAGAGAAGTTATTGTGAGATGCGGGTTTGGATGGGAAGGATGGAATTGTGGGAATTTATTCATAGCTTCATTCGATTAATAGGATATCAAGCTAATGAAAGAATTGAAGATCTTTCGACTAGGTTTCGACTAGATTTTGACTAGGTTTCGTATAGGTTTCGACTAGGTTTTGACTAGGTTTCGTATAGGTTTCGACTAAGTTTCGACTAAGTTTCGACTAGGTTTCGAACTTAAAACCTATTTCGCATCTTTTATTCAGTCAAGACCCTTTATCACTTGCCCATTAAGGTTGATATCTCACATTCGCCAACTGTCATACTCATAGAATCAGTTCTATTCTACATAACCTAGTAGAAAGGATGATGTAACTGAAAATCGAACATCATAACTCCTTCAAATCGCCAAATAAAAATCTCCAGAAACTTCTCAAGAGCTCCAAATAAACACACTTGACGACTCAAAATTCTAATATATTGACCCACATTTCTAAATAGCCAATTAAACAATTTAGCCTGCAATACTCAAAAATTAACAAAATTGCTCTTTTTCCAAATTTCTAACTTGACAAAAAAATTGCCAATAAGTATATTGCGACAAGTCGTTGTAAATTCAAGGACATACACAATCACATGTGTGGACACATAAAAAAAGTTTCGTTTCCGCGCGTAATTTAAAGTTATTAAAAAATTATTCAATGTTGGGGTTAACTGGCATTTGGAGTCAAATTGAATTGAAACTTTTGTTGCCTTCTGCATTGTGATTTGAGAATTTAGAATGTGATGACAGACAATTTTGAGAGTATTCTCGATTAGAAGCTCAAACTTCTGCTTACTCTTAACAATTTAAATAAATTTCCACAAAAATAAGAAAAATCACACCCGGAAAAAGTAATCAAACCTGATTAAATCCCACAAAACTCATCGAACATCACGAATAACCGATTATATAGATTAATTCCTTCAACAAACTTAATGTAAATTAATGGTTGACAATCACGTGAGACATAAAAATTAAATAAGCTTATTGTCAATATTAGTAGCCGCTATTACTTGAAACATGACTAGCCTAGAATAAAACCTAGTTTAATGATCCTCTAATTGAGGACAATGTAGCTGTTAATGCATTCAATGAAAAAAATAAAATAAAAATAAGTAGCTGGAAACAGTTTGAATTATCATGAAGAAGTGATGGAAATTTAGGTGCTTTTAGGATTGCGTTGATACTTGAATTAAACTTAGGGTTTCGTTATGCTGACATGGATCTTTTGGAGTCTTTCAAGCTGATCTTAGGTTTAGCATACGAGACTAAGTTGTTCATACTCATCAATAAACCCATCTTATGCCTTTAAATCTCAACAGAATCACTACATTTCACCATAACATCTAACATCTAACCTTCCGCATTAAAATATCTATTTTTTTGCAAACTTTTATGAATAAGTCGCTGATATATGTAGCAAAATATATTACAAAACTCAATTCATCTTTATGAAACACATTATTAACCTGCGTAAATGAAGTCAAAATGAGGCAAAAAAAAAATTAAAGCAATTGTAATTATTATGTATGTCTGCTCATTTCAAACTCTAAAATATAATTCATTAAATGAAAAATTGTTGAAAAATTAAGGCATTTTTAAACGTTATTGTTGAAGTCATTAAAATGTAAGGCTTTGTTTTAAAGCAACTTAATTTCAGGCTGAATAGACATCAAAATGGTTTTTTTTATCAGCATGTAGTTTGTGTAATGTGTGGATTGAAATTTGAATGGATTTTTGAATGGTGAAATTTTGTGGGGATTTAGAGAGTTGGATGGATTGTCGAGGGTATTTGATGAGTTTTTGTTGGTACTTTGAGGGTCTTTTGGGGTTGAAAGAATTTTTTTAAATTTTTATTGCGATAAAAATGCAAAGTTTAGGGTCAAGGAGTAGCTGTCCAGCATACACAAGTTAAACTAATTGAAAAGTCATCAATAAAAACGTCATTTTTGTTCTAAAATAAATTAGCGAAGCCAAAAAGCGTCCAAAAGGAACTCGAACCCCCTCAACATTGCAGTTTAAATGAAAATAAAATTCAGATTTCTTAAAAAAATAGAAATTTCGCAATGAGCTTCTTTACCATAGTTTTTTTAACTGCACCCTTGATTCCCAATCTCACTTAACCATCTGCCATTCCATTCAGAACATCCAACAATCTATTGCATCATCAAGTTCCAAACTTGAACTCTGCAACTCCCACAAAACATTTACAAAAACCAACTTAAATTACCTCACAAAAATTACCATAAATTATACCTTAAAAACTCCCTAAATGATAACAATGAAATCCACACACAAAGCCTCGACAGCAACAACAACAAAAATTTTTTTTCCAAATTCCAATTTTACTCCAAATAAAAATTTATTTTTATTTTTTTTATCTGTGTCAGTTTGCCTAAAATATATTCCATGGTAGCACATATGAAATTAATATTACATTGAAACACACCAACAAAATGGTTGAGTAAAATAGAACTAATTGTTTAAATATATAAATAATAATAGCAATAATAATTCCAATTCCACTATCAATAAAGCATCGCCATCTTTTTACTTTAAATATATATAATAAAAATATTTCGGGTAGCAGAAGCAGATGATGATGATGATCATGATGAGAGTATGGTATTATTTACAAGAAATGAAAATGTCGATCGCGTAGGTTTCTTTTTTGTAGTGGAGCATTATGTGAAATCAAATAAAGCACACCAAAAAAAAATTCATGGATAGATTTTTGAATTTTGCCATAGTTTATAGCTTGAATTTCACAAATTGCATATGCTAACAATACATTCAAATATGTGCATAACTTAACTTGTCAAAAAAAGAGAAATAAATAAAATAAAAAAATCAAGGCAATTTAGACCGCTCTATTGCAACATCTCCTTCTTTCGCTTCCTTATAAATGAACTTCTTCTTGTGTCAAAAAATAAAAATGTAAAATGCGAGTTATAAGAAGCTATTGGGATAATTTAGTAAAGTGGATGTTGTATAAAGCGCATTTTTGATTAAGGTTGAGGACTTAATTTCTTTTCTTAAGGTTTTAATGTCTTTGCTGGCTTTACAGACTGGTCGCTGTCCATGACTTCGCCTAATATTGATTCTATTGCATTATTGCATCAACCAGCTAATGATGACAAGTTCAATATTATTTCTGGGCTTCATAAACTTTTTCTTTATATTCCATACTCCTTATGATTCTATCTTGATGATTGAAATCACTTTCTACAGATCGTTTTAAGCTTATACGTTGTAAAGGAGGGTCTAGAAGAGCATAGACAACAATTAACTCAATAAAAATATTACGGCCTGTTTCACTAAAGTAGATTATCATCGCTTTCGGATTATTCTCTTCAGTTTTTTGCAAATATCTTAAACTTTATGGGAGTAGTGGTATTTCTAATTTTGGATTATAATAGAGTGAACTATGCCTGAAATTTCTGTACACTTTAAACTTTTGCTTTCCATTAAGAAGTATTAACTATTCAATTTTTTAGCCAAATCTAGTAGGTTAACTTCGATTTTTGTTATAATTTTAAAACTAATGAAGATATAAAAATTCTAAGTATATGTTAATTCATCTAATCACACATTAGATCTCTTAAAAGTCTTAAGTGTCTGGAGATATTTCCAAAAACTGAAATGGATAATACCGAAATCGAGGATAATCCACTTTAGTGAAACAGGCCGATTAATTTTGATAATCAGTCTCCATAAGGCTTAATTGTGTAGCAAAAGATTAGGAAAGAAGGGGCTTTGACCTTTAGAATCCTGAATATAAGATTGCAAAATGTTTAAAGAATCTCAAAAGTTCTACAAAGTTTAAAAATCCTCTTTCTAATGAATGTCTGACCATGCTTTGTAACCTTTTGAGATAAAAACAATTTTCCAGAAAAAATCAAGTCTTAGGAGCTGGGAACTAAAATTCCCAGCTATAAATCTGATCCACGAAATAGACAGCAGCAGTAGCAATAGTTTTCATAATCAACATTAGCAGCAATCCACTCAAAATGCATCAATCCCTTACAAAACATTCGCCAAAAAATTACGCTAATTTATTTTATATATAAACGCGTTTTTAAAAACTATAATATGTGCTCTAACAGCAACAGCAGCAAGCAGGCAACAAAAATTGAGCGAATATAATATTTGCACACAGACACATTAGTGAATTTTTTTTTTGAGAGAACATTAGAAACTCACATACATCGCGAAATAGTGAAATATATGAGGCAAATAAAATGAATTTTATTTTTTTGGTAAGCAGAAATTCGCGTGGAAGTCGAAATTTTTTTCTCTTGTTGCAAAAAAGAAGAAG